CCCTTGTTCCACATCCTCATCTGAATCCAACTTGCATCTCTGGAAGTTCTCTGTCAACGTATGGTTGCAGCCATTTCTGTATTACCTTTAGCAAAACTTTACTTGAATGGGATACATATATACATTTGTTAGTTGTTGGCTGCTGTCGAGTGGGTTACAATTCTCAGTGACTTACACACAACAGAATGAAATACTACCAGGTCCTGCACCATCCTCACAATCATTATGTTTGAGCCCATTGCTGCCACAATTGTCAATCCACCTCATTGGGCGTCTTCTTCTTTTTCATTGACCCTTCACATTACCAAGCATGATGTTTATCTCTAGGTAGTAGTCCATCGTGGTAATACGTCTGAAATATGAGAGATGAAATCTCATCATTCTCGCTTCTAAGGAGCACCCTGGCTGTACTTCTTTCAACAGAGATTTGTTTATTTTTCTGGGAGTCTACTGTCTTTTTAATATTCTTCTCCAACAATACAGTTCAAATACATCAATTCTATATTCTTCCTTATTCATTAATCAACTTTCACATGCAATTGATGCAACTGAAAAAACCATGCCATGGATCATGCATACAGTAGTTCTCAAACTGATGTCTTTGCTGTTTAACATTTTAAAGAAGTCTTATGCAGCAGATTTGCTTACAGCAATAAGTCTTTCAATTTCTTGACTGATGCTTCCATTAGTGTTGATGGTGGATCCAAGCAAAATGAAGTCTTTGACTACTTCAGTCTGTTCTCTATTTATCATGATGTTATTTATTGATCTGGTTGTGAAGATCTTTGTTTTCTTTACACTGAGGTGCAACCCATACTGAAGGCTGTGATCTTTGGTTTTCATCAGTAACTATTTTAATTCCTTTTCGCTTTCAGCAAGCAAAGTGGTATCATCTACCTGCATACCACAGGTTGCTAATGAGTCTTTCTCTAATCTTGATGCCATCTTGATGCCACTTTTTTCTTCATATAATCCAGCTTCTTGGATTACTTGCTCACCATATAGATTAAGTACAGTGAAAGACTATAACATTGGTACATATATTTCCTGATTTTAAACCACTAAGCATCCTCTTGTTCTGTTCAAACAACTGCTTTTTAGTCTACTTACAGGTTCTTCACTATCACAAATAAGTGTTCTGGAATGTCCATTCTTTGTAGTGTTATCCATAATTAGTTACAATCTGCAGTTAAATGCATTTGCAAAGTCAATAAAGCACAGGTAGGCATCTTTCTGATATTCTCTGCTTTTAGTCAAGATTCATCTGATGTCAGTAATAATATCCCTGGTCCCATGTACTTTTCTGAATCTGGCTTGAATTTCTGGCAGCTCCCTGTTGATATATGGCAACAATCATCTTTCAATTATCTTCAGCAAAATTTTACTTGCAGTTGATATTAATGATGTTGTTTGATGATTTTCATATTCCATTGAGTCATCTCTTTATGGAATATGCACAAATATGAATCTCTACCAATCAG